CTTCAACTCCCAGAATTCCCAGAATCCCCCAGTCCACCCATCTTAGAGTTGCCAAGGTTGAGAAACACTGCTCTACAGCTTTATGCACTATTCACAGTCCAGCCAAGGACATACCATAGCTCCAAACTGAATGGCTGTTACTAACGCGCAGATTCTCCAGGCTACAAATGCAGACTTTCCAACAGCTTGTGTTATTTTAGAGCCCTTATCTCCCAGAAGTCATTTTACATAAAATTCAACTGGATGTCCAGGGCATTGGCCTCATGAGAGGTGTTAAAAGCTCCACGCCTGTATCTTTACAGAGATTACAGTAGAGTAAGACGTGGGCCGGTGATTCAGTATTTCCAGACTGGCAAAGCAAGTCGTGCTTCGGAATGGGCTGGATTTGAGTTATCTAGTGGGCAACCTTTTAGGGCATTTTCTGTCTACGGTCCCAAATAAGTCGATCTACTTTTAACCACTCACCACACTCTGCATGTGTAGATCAGACCTGTATCACTGTATGGCGTAGCAATGAATTCTGTACTTCGCTGAGAATCTTTTTGAGGGCATTCTCTGAAGACAGCTTGACCTGCTGCCCCCGCCAATAACGTAGAGGGAATGAGGTTGGGTGAGGCTGCAGTTTGAGGCAGAGTTTTCTCTGCCTGCGTTGCTTTGAAGGTTGAATTGCTGGATTATTGGTTCTTAAACCACCATGTACCTTTGGTGGGGGAAAGGTGGTGGTGGATTAATCTTGCTTGCAAATTCCTCAGGGAAGCAGCGGAAATCTGTACAGGCTGTTCCGTAAAATGTCAATCAACTTTCATGGCATTGTGATTTATAAATGGGAAAAAATGATTTATGCTTTTCCAAGTCTTGGTAAGCTGCTGTTGGTCAACCCTACAGGTTCTTGTAAACCCCATCTTTTTCTTCTTCAGATGCATGGAAGCTGATATTTGGAGACCCCACCAAGTTCGGTCTTGGCCTCTTCTCTATCTTCTTTGATATTGTCTTTATGATCCAACATTACTGCTTGTATCGCCCTCGAGAATATGAGCAGTTTGAGTAGACGCCTGTCCAGATGTGCCAGTTGCATTGGGAAGGCTGACTCCAGAGAACCTACGACTGGCAGAACTGCTGCAACTCTGGTTTCTGCTCCACCTTAATTGCACCAAACCTCCTTTGCCCTCGTGTGCCTTAACGTCTTCCAATCCGGCAGTGCAGCCTTGCCAAAGTCATCCTCTCCTGAACTTCTTAGATGTGAAGTTCTCAAAAGCTTCTGGAGAGATCAGCCTCCGTAAAGGAAGAAAAGGTGCTCGTGCTTTGCCCTCCAATTTCTTACCACTAAAGAACGGAGCTGTGATGGGACCCGTACATCTAATGCAGCTTTGCTGGCAAGAACCTGTTTTAGGAGAAGGTTGGTTACAAGCAATGGAAAAATGGTTATCATTGAAGGATCTGCTCTGCTATAAATCCGTTAAACCTGAAGGACAGATCGTGTGACTTCAGGGCCACAGGTGTCACCTTTCCTCTTGCAGCAAGGGGAGAAATGCATGGAGGATGTCAGACTAACACTAAAAGCTTTACGTTGGCACCAAGGAATAAGCTAAACGTACTGAAGAAGCTCCTGTAAGAACCTTTGTGTGAAACTGCTGAATGCAGGGGTCGGTATTATTAAAGCTGCTGTAACAGGTTGTTGATGCACTGTGGTTGCTTGATGAAGGCTCCTTTCGAAGGAAGAGGCGTTCCTGTTGTGGGTGCCAGAGGCTGGAAGGGCTCAGGGCACGAGCAAGATTGTAGGTCCCTGCAACCTTGCCAGTCCTGTTGTTGGATTTCAGTAAGACCCCGTTTACCTCACTGGGGACTGAAAAGCTGGGAGTCAGCTCCCCGTGTCAATTGAGCTGAGGGGGACTGCTTTTGGAAGTAAGGTGTTGCAATTTAATCAGGAAGGAGGGAACATGGAAAAGCCATCTGGGCTCAATTGCAGCCCAGCCTGGGTGGGGGTGGGGGGGGACTCTTTTTCTTCCCATTCCAGGAAGTCAGCCGGGACACTAAGCCCATCCTAGGACAGATGGGCCCTAACAGGCTGTGGGGAAGAGCTTGTACAGGATAAATCCCAGAGTTGCTGGGATAAAGCCTTAGTTGACTTCCTTTGGGATAAAATCAAGAGGAGTCTTTTCCAACTCACAATTTTTTATCCAAAGACGTAATTTTTATCCAAGGACGTAAGCTTCCATGAGCTACGACTCATGAATGCTGCTGCATCTTAATGTGTTTGTTGGAAAAGGTGCTACCAGACTCCTGATATTTTGCCACTATAGACCAGTGTTTCTCAACCTTGGCCATTTTAAGAGATGTGGACTGCAACTTCCAGAATTGCCTAGCCAGCATGCTGGCTGGGGAATTCTGGGAGCTGAAGTGCAGAGTGTTGAGAAACACTGCTATAGACAAATACAGCTTTCCGCAAATACTAAATATTTTCCAGCAAACGTTCTCTAGCGTGAAATGCTACTCAAGATCTTTCAACTTGAAAGGCCTTCAGTTTAGGGTGGAACCTTCTGTACCAAAAAATAAAGTGAAAAGGGGAGAAAACAGTCTGCCTCTTGCTAGAATCTCAAGCCAATTAAACTACATATCTTTCTTCCCGGATCATACCAAATACCCACCTGGCTGCAGCCCCAGGTAAAGGAGGGGTGGGGTGTGTTATTCTATGCCTGGTCCTGCAAGGATAGAAGGCGCCTCCCTTGCCAAGGGTCTCCAGGGTTGGTTGGTTGGTTGATTTGTCATATTTATATAGCTGCCCATCTCACAGTCAAGTGACTCTGGGCGGCGTACAACAAAGTTAAAAACAAAATATACAAATTAATATTATTAAAAACTTTAAAATTATTAAAAGCACAAAACAATAAAAAAGATCAGGCGAAGAGCAGGTGTTAATTACATGGGAGCCACCTCAATATTTCGCCAGTCCCCTGGGGTCCCCAGGCCTGCTGACACAACCAGGTCTTGAGGGACCTCCAGAAAGTTAAAAGGAATGAGGCCAGCCTCACTTTGGGGGAAGGATGTTCCATAAAGTGGGGGCCACAGCAGAGAAGGCCCACCACCTAGACCTGCCAAATGAAGCTCCCTAGCCAACAGGACCCTCAGCATGCCCTCTCTCCAGGATATGGTGGGACAGGCAGATGTAATCAGGGAGACATGGTCCCTCAGATAACCCGGTCCCATGCCAGGTAGGGCTTTAAAGGTCAAAACTGGCACCTTGAATTGGACCCAGAAACAGACAAGTAACCAATGCAGCTCTCGAAGCAGAGCTGTAACGTGTTCTACTAGAGACACACAAGCCTGATCTGCTGCATTCTGCACCAGCTGAAGCTTCTGGATACTCTTCAAGGGCAGCCGGATGTAGAGCACATCACAGTAGTCCAAGCAGGTGGTGACTAGGGCATGACTGACTAGGGTTTCAGATGGGATTTGGTGTTATTTACCCACTGTGGGTCCACAGACCAAAAATGAAGGTGTTTGATCTCATGGGGATATCAACTTCTTTTTCTTCTGCTGCTAAGTTGGTCTCCATACCATTGGAAGACCTGAAGGACCACGTTGGGGGCAAATCCTGGAGAAAAATCTATCTAGGTGGCTGCTAAGAGTTGACAACAACTTGACAGCACGTAACCAACCGACCAAGCTGGTCTTCCTGCTCATTTCTCTTACTGCGGCAAGGACTACGTTGCTTTTATCTGATATGTGCTAGCAGTTAACTGTATTCCTGGGGAAAGGACGCTTTAAGGGAGCTTTTCACACTTGCAAGAGTGACAAAGGAAACCACTTCCTGTGTGGATTGCTGAGAGTGCCACGGTGGGTCCCTGCTCGACTGGGTGCCCAGTTTGCAGAACCCTCAGCTCAAAGTCGAGTATTTGCGGGTAGATTCTGGAAACCCCTCCGTGAAACCTCTCGGAGAGCTGCTGGGTCTTACAGCCTGCTCAGCATTCAAATGGGTTGTCCAGCTGTGCAGACACAGCCCACGTCACATTCAGCTGGAAAGACTACAAGAGTGGTTCCCCTCCTGGACCACTTCCTTTGCTCCTAAATTCAGCCTCCTGAAAGCTGTAAACTTCCTAAGGAAACTTCACTTGGATTTGAATAGCAGATGTACCTTCTCCTGAATAGGTTAGTGCAGTGTTTCTCAACCTTGGCTGCTTTCAGATGGGTGGACTTCAACTCCCAGAATTCCCCAGCCAGCGTTGTCCACCCATCTGAAAGCGGCCAAGGTTGAGAAACCCTGGATTAGGGAATTTTTTGGAACCTTTTCCAAAGTTTTTTGGAACTTTTTTCCAAGTGGGGAAAAAGCCACAGCAGACTGGTTCAAGAACCTTTAACGATAGAGGATCCAGTTCTGTCAAGTAGTCATATGGCATCTCTACACAGAAAATAACCTGAGCTCTACTGCAAATGTATTGGTTGCCCAGATGAGGGTTTTTCAAACTGTCTGGAGAGACTAAAGGCAGGAGGGGAAAAAATTCACAAGAATGCAGCCCATTTTCCATCACTAGAACTTTGCTTCTTGATAGGGGCTTCCGGGCATTTTTTTTTTTTTTAAGTTAAAGTTTAAAAAAAGGTCTGCAGCCTGAAAAAGGTTGACAATTCTTGGCCTATAACAGAATAAGACATCTCTCTTGAATCTTAACTTTTCTAGCGGCTCCTGGCTTCTAGTTTAAAATAAAAAAAGGAACAGACACTTGAGATCCAAAGGCCAGCTAAGTTTATTTTGTGTAAAATGATATGCAGCAGCAGTTGGTATCTTTACCTCCCAACTAATCTGATGTGATTGGGTACTACAAAAACACAAGGCTTTGGAAGTTTCAATCTTGTCAAAAGATACTGTCCCACAGCAATTTCTGCGACAGAAGGACAAGCCACAGTCATGAGAAACGGGTAGAACTGTTTGAATGCAACCTTCTTTCATCACGACAGGCTGAGATTTAAGGGCACTGAAGCCAAATCAGTGCACAAGTAAAAGAGCAGTAATATACTGAAATAAGTTAGTGATACAAAGGTTGGGAGGGGGGTATTATTTACAAGACGTATAAAAGATCTTCAGGAAGAATTTGGAGAAATTGGCACAAAAGTCGTGATTAGAAGCTAACTTTGGAAAGTCAGGACACAAACTCAAGAGTCAAAAACCGTGGCCGTCAGGCAGAACGTGACTCGAGAACGTCTAAGACCGCTTATTGGTGTAATAGAAGTCCCTAACATCGGCCTCTCTCCCTCCAGACAGATTATGGTTAACAGGAATTCTGGCTGAGCAGAGTCCCAGGCAAATGAAGACTTAAGGCCACCAAAGCTACATTCACCTTCGCTTGCTATACGCTGCTGGAGAAGGGAGCCAATTTCAAATGCCCATCGGTCATGGCTTCTTGGTCTTCCTCTGTGGAACCCTCAGAAAGGCAACGGTTGGGTACCTCTGAACACAGCCTGGTGCAGGGTTCCAGATACCAGCAATAAAAACTTTGGTCTGGGTAACAAGACTGAAACAGTTAATTACGGGGCCATCTTTTTTAGCAAACTCGATGTGGCTTTCTTATGAAAAAGGAATTTAAGAACTGAATCCACCGGAGCATCTCTGGGACAAAAGCTGAGCCCGGTCTCTCTCCACAAGCTCTTAGGCAAAAGGTGGTCACAGTGGATCAGAAGCTGGCTCTTACCCATACGTTTCTGTATCCCCTAGTTGCAGTTTGATGCCCAAGGTCTTTGATCCGGATGGGCATCAAACTGCACCTAGAGGTGCCCTCCATGAATTCGGTGGGGACAGAGCCATCTTTGCATAGGTGTGGTGGGGTGGGGGTGTCCTTTGCTGAAAGCTTCTCTGCATCAGATCGCCAGAGGATAGATCTGCGGTCCACGTTCAACATCTCTCCACCCTGTTCTGAAGACCATCATTGGCCCCAACTCAGTGGCACGGCTGGGACATCATTGACTGCTGCACAGCCTTCTGCAGAGAGTGTCTTGTCACCAGGAGCCGGACCACCTCCTCATTCCGCTTCGTCAGCCTCTTGCGGGCTTGGTCGTGAGTCACCATGGTCATATCCCATCCGTTAACCTGCAACAGTTTGGAGTGATTTTACAGAAGGATGGTAAGCGTCAACATCCATTAAGAACACTGGATTTTCTTTCACATAAGTGGGAAAAGACATGGAGTCCTAATAGATAAATCGGGGGGAATAAGTATCTCTGGGCTTTATGAACATTGTAGGAGAAGAGTCATGTTAGTTTAGTCCAGTGTTTCTCAACTTTGGCCACTTTAAGATGTGTGGACTTCAACTCAACATTCTGGCTGGGGGATTCTGGGAGTTGAAGTCCACACATCTTAAAGTGGCCAAGGTTGAGAAACACTGGTTTGGTCTATAGTAGCTGAAAATCAGGAGAAGTCTGGTGGTGCCTTTTCTAAAAAAAACTTTAAGTAGCTCACAAAAGTTGATGCCTTCAAATAAAATGTGTTAGTTGGAAAAGGGGCTACCAGATCCTTTCTGATTTTTGATTTTTTGCAAGACTATCAGGAACCCTCCTTCCCAAAGGACAGTAAGGTGAACAAAACGTAATAACAAAATATAATTTAAATCCAACATTAGTCTAGCCACCACACTGCAGCTCATGAAAGCAGATATATTTAATAAAATGTGTGAGTCAGAAAAGGAGCTACCAGGCTCCTCCTGATTTTTGCAAAACTATTAGGAACACTTCTTCCAAAAGGACAATAAGATGAACAAAATATAATAACAAAATGTAATTTAAATCCTGCATCAGCCTAGCCCCTTCACTGCATCTGGTGAAGTGAGCTGCTGCACACAAAAGTCAATGCCTTTTAATAAAATGTGTTAGTTCGAAAAGGTGATATCAGACTTCTCCTGATCTTTGAACTTTATACAGCTTACTTTGGAATAATAATAAATCTCCATCAGCTTGGCTCGAAAGGCACAGAGGGCGGGGACTGCAAGGCGAACCGTCCAGCTGCTCCTTAAACAGCGTGGGAGTTTACCTGCATGATTTTGTCTCCAACCTGAAGCCCAGCCATTTCTGCAGGTCCGCCTTCTGTCACTCGAGTGACGTAAATGCCCTGGGGAGAAAGAACAGGAGGGGGTGGGTCATCTGCCCGGATGAGCTCTCGTGAAGCCCGAGTCACTCACTTAGAGTCTGTTGTCCTCTTGCTCCAGCTGTTGTTAGCCATGTAAACAGGAGGGGGATGTGGGTGGTTTTGTTTTAGCCAGCTTCTGCCTGCTTCGTCCAAAGCTCACTTATTCATTCTATTTATTCGGTTTTGATGCCACCCAACTCCCACTGACTTTATCCTGGAATCCTACAGCTGGAAAGGACCTCAACCTCCAAACTCTTTGCACTCAGAACAGCTGGTTCTGGTGGTCTGCACCTGAACAAAAACACATTTTGGGTGTTTGGGTCTGCAGATGGAATGAAAGAACGGTTTGGTTGCAGATACAAGGTCGTTTGGGGCATAGATGGTTGTGGGGGGGAAGGAATAAAGGCACTGGGAAGATCAGGGATGAGCTGGGTGGGATTGTTAAAAAATTATTTATTACAAATGCCGTTATGTCGCTTCTGCCTCTTGACTCGGCGGCTTACAAACATGCAAATATAATCTCCCAAACACTATCCATATATTAGAAATAATTTGCCAAAAATGAATTCAGTTGTTACAATACTGTTGCTCCTTTTAAAGAAACAGCCCAACTGCCAGCCCCACGAGGTTAGACTGGACTAGGAAATCAACTCCATGGGAAGGCGAAAAACTACTTTTATTGAGATTGGCTGTAATAACAGAATCTTGCAAATCTGACTGGGCTTCCCCTCCCCTCCCCTCCCTCTTCTACCCCCCAGGAGTCAGCCTCTTTTCAGTACTATCTCCCTTCCCAGGACTTAGGGAATCAGTCTGTCTTCTTTGTTGACATAGCAGATTCTGAGCATTTGCTTCAAGGCCGCCTCCCTGTCTTTCTACACTAACTCAGGTTGTTGCTAGACTGAGAGTGGGGAGATCCAGGTTCTGTTCTTCCTTGAGCCACAGAAGCTCCTTGGGGAAACCTGGGGCAGTCCCTCCCTCTCACGCCAACGTACTTCACAGGGCTGTTGTTGTGGGGAGATATTATGCACACCACCTGGATCTCCTAAATGAAAGCTGGAATATAAATCTAAGAAACCCATCAATAGGCCTGAATCTCTTTCCAGAAGACTGAAGCCCCCTCTGTGCAAACCTTGTCAGTCTTGTCCTCTGAGAAGGGATTCTGAGCAGGGTCCTGGTCGATGCCACCTCCGATGCTGAAGCCCAGAATGAGGTTCTCGCCTTGGCGGAGTTTGTGGATTTCAACCCTTTGCTAAGAAGAGAAAGGAGAGTCCAACTTGAGCGCTCATGTCTGGCCCCATCCCAGCTCAAAACACAACCAAGATCATCTTGGGTGCTATAAACTTTCTGGCACAAGCATATAATTCAGTGTTTCTCAGCCTCAGCAACTTTTAAGACGTGTGGACTTCAACTTCCAGAATTCCTCAGCCAACATGCTGGCTGGGGAATT